AGTCCCATCCCAGTGCTACCAGTCCCATCTCAGTCTCACCCCAGTCCTGCCCATCCCATCCCAGTCCTGCCCATCCTGCTGCCAATCTCATCCCAGTCCTGCCCGTCCCATCCCAGTCCCATCCTGGTGCCACCACTCCCATCCCAGTGCTGCCCATCCTACCCTAGTCCCACCCCACTGCTCCCAGTCCCATCCCACTCCCCTCCCAGTGCTGCCAGCCCCATCGGGGTGCCGTGGGGTGACAGCCCCCCTGGGGTGTCCGTGTCCCCCCTCCAGGTCCCACCTGAAGGACATGGTGAACCACACGGCCATCATCATCAGCGTCACCCGGCGGTACTCGGGGGCGAAGCACTGCTGGAAGTTGCTCCAGACCTAGAGGGGGGGAGGGATAAGGGGTGGGGGGGACACGGGAGGTGACAAAGGGACACTGTGGGGAGTGGGGGTGTCCGTGTCCCCCCCCCAACCAGGACAGGACCTGGCCTCACCTGCTGGGAGAGGTTGAGGAATCGGACGAGCCAGCGCCGGTACCACGTTCCTGTGTCCGACTGGATCTCGATGAGTTCGTCCTCCCTCTTGATGGTCTTGATGTGGGTCACCTGTGGGGAGGTGGGGTGGGAGGGGACACAAAGTTTGGGGACACCAAGAAGCACCAGCCTCAGCCAAGGGTCCCAGGTGAGACCCGTCCCCACCTCGTGCCTCAGTTTCCCCCCCCTTGGTAAACTGAACCCCTCTCCAGGTGGTGCTTTTCCTGGAGGTGAAGATTTGGAGCCTCCTCCAGGCTGTTGGGTGCCCAAAGGCTCAGCCCCAGGGTGGGGTGGGGGGGACAACTTACCGAGAAGACCCTCTCGGGGTGGCCCTTGGCCCTCATGTTGGTGTCGTGGACCTGCTTCAGCACCATCCAGGCCTCGTCGTGTTTGCCGTTCTGCAAGGAAGAGCCCGGGGTCACCTTGGGACCAGTTCTGTCCCAGTCCCACCACCCACTCAGGGTCCCTGCCTGGGTCCCCCCGTCTCCATCAACTGCTCAGGGTCCCACCACCCACCTGGGGG